AGACAGAAAGCTGCATCTTGGAAAGTACAAATGGAGTTGCCATATTCTAACACCCTTGGATAGATTTCTTTTCCTACTTTACAATACATCACCTTGCAGAGCAAATAAATTCATTGTATCAAGGTCCCAAAAGTGATTTCACAATAGTATGACAAAGTATATGTACATAGATCTAGAACACAATTAGCATTTGTAAATCTGTGTGTCTGCATGTACTTTCATAATTTTACACTTACACTTTTTTTAATCAATTCTTTAAAATATTCTACAGTCCTGATATTGCTTAAAATTTCAAAAAATCTAACACACTATTCAGTTATCATTGTCAGAAGTCAAAGGTTTAATATTTCCGAGGTATGATTTCTACAAATCCTGTTTGTAAAAATAGATTGGACACAAGCATATTATAATTTAGAAAAATAAATTCATACAAACAATTTTCTTCAAATATACTGAATTTTATAGAAAATAAAATACCAGTACCCAAAACGGGCACATATATTGCACAGTAGTATTTGATTCAATGTCATGTACATGTAATATGTGCAACTCAACTGTGCATCCAAGTTTTCATGGTTTTGTTTGTTTTTATTGTCTTATATTTCATTATACAGTCAGTTACCTAATCCGAGATTCCTCTGACTCTAACCCCTGCTTTTATATTGTAACTTGTGCGCACAAGTCACAATATAAAAGCGGGGGTTAGAGTCAGAGGAATCTCGGATTATCAGTTACCATGCAGGTGCACACAGGTACATGTGATACCTGAATAGAATTATGAATAAAAAAATACTTACACATTGTAATCGGGATCGGTCAGGGACTACCACACCACTACATGTATCTCTCGATCTCTATTTCAAAGACATCTTGAAGGGAACAGCTAAAATCCTCTCGGCCTTCGCCCCCATTCCACCCTGATTTCCTCATATTTTCTTTTCTACGAGTAGCTATACGTGTAATACTCATCATGTCCAGATCAACTCTATGGCTTTTCTTAAAGATTATCCCAACTTTGTCAACTGTTTTTCATCAAATTCTGAGTCTCTTGAGGTAGAATTTTCCTGAACAAGATGTTTCAAAACAAGAAGAAAAACTGCAGATTTCATTGTCTGCCATCTTGTTTACAATTTACACATTTTGTATTCTTCAATGCCGAAGAGCTCCAACAAGGGAAATAACTCGGATAGAGAAAAAGCACATTTAGACCAACTTTATAGTGTAATAAAACGTTTATTTTTCATTTACCCATAAATGTTTTAAATGATATTTGCAAAATAACATTTCTTGAATCTAAATCTCCCTACTAGAATTTTCACATCACTTGTCAAAGTCTTTAAATATTAAGTCTAACAAGGGAGGTAACGAGGACTAATTATTCACTTTTTGGGCATCAGAAAATTAGAAATTGTAAAATTTTTGTGACCTTGGCTATTTTTTACATAGTTTTGATTGTCATGAAGGATATAAAAAAATATGAACATAAACAGCTTTGTCTAGTAAATATTTTTTTGATATTATTGATAAATAGCAAAATCCACTATAATTTACACCTTCTAGTCCCGTTTCCATGGCAACCGGATAAACTACCATGCTTTCTTTCATATAGTCAATCTTTTCATTCATTGAAGTTTCAGTAATAAAAAAATTAGCTGAATCGAAGACATCGCGTGGCCACGTCATTTTGATATTTACGTAGAATTGGTATTAATTATAATGGCATTACTTTGGTCAATCTTAGTTAATTGTCTAATACTTAATTTTCTATTTATTTGTCTTTGCCATTTCTTACAAATTTGAATTTTGTTCATGTTCTCATGAACTACCATGGATAACACCGTACTTGACGTCAAAACTATAGTGCAAACTGTTTTGCATTAAAAATGACAGTTGAATGGCGTAAGTTGTGGTAACTCATCAGAAAGCAACACAAATATAACAAACAAGTTGCTGTCCTTTAAAAAAGGACTGCTATACGTGGACTATATGCATGTTTGTCTAAACGAAATTCAATTAAGAAATTTTAATAGGGTGTAATGAATACTTATGTATGTTTGTTCAAATTTTCCACAATGATCTGCCTACTTATGACTGATTGTAGTCTCAATGCAATATTGTTAAATTTTATCTCCGATTAGCGGCCTTTAGTTTTGTCAGTTTCAAAAATTTGGCTACTTTGATACATGTAACACATAATGGCTAGGATGTGACACCTGTTGTGGATTTATGCGGAAGAAATCTATCAGGGGGAAACATAGATCTGATGGTACACATGTATCACAGCTCTTTAGCACGCAGATTTTTTGTCGGACCTCCCCCCCCCCACACACACACACATTAAAAGCCGTTGCTATATATACATGTACAAGAGTATGATGTAACACAAGAGTATTAGGTCAAAGCATTAGTGAAAATGGTCTGTGTCAAGTTGTGTTAATCATTATTATAACAAAAACACCAAGATCTCTGAATTTATCATAGTGTTTATAATCACAACAATTACCCCCTCATATGTATATGTACACCAAAAGCAAAACCATAAATGAAGGTGTGTAAACAGGGAATCAAAATATATGGGGTTTTTTTTTATTTACCTTTCGTAGTAATGGATCAAGTCGAGAAACTCTAATGTAATCTATAAACCATCACGTTATAAATAGAAATAAACCCAGCAAATTAAATATCTGTCAACGAAACAAAAGACTCCGAAAACTGAGATTTTTATTAAAAAATTTCGAGGTTTAAGGACAAAACTTCTCGAGAAATGAGTGGAACATTATGATAGATGAACGTGACAAATAAATAATAAAGTTATCAATCAAAGATAGATTTCCCCATGTTCTTGCAAGAAACACTTAAGGAAAGAAATGGCAAAGCTTCACCTTGATCGATATTTTGTTCAGGATTCTAAAATTCAGAAATATCATAAGAATCTTTATCATAAACTTTCTGAAATGTGTGTAAAACATTGTAAATGTTGGTTTTAATTTCAATTTGCTATGGAGATTTAGCCAGTTTATGAAGAGGTTTCCTTTTTTAAATTAGATATTTGTAGTGAAATCGCATGCCGTCCTTTACCACTTGACATTTAAGTATTTTAATTTAAATGTTACACAACGACACAAGTGAGAAATATACTTATTTTTGACTTTTTATAGATTCCTGATGTACTTGAAATCGAATCGGGAAAAATGTCATGATGTTAACCTTAACAGCCGTTCGTTTCTCGAATACGACTGAGTCAACCATTTTTTGTCACAAGTGATCTACCTTATGACGTCATTTTCACATTGTGACGTCACAAACTTGGAGCAAAATATTCCATTACATATGCTATTTATATGTGTATGACTCTATGTCTGTCAAATTTCATTCTGATCTGAATCGTGGTTTTGTAAATATAGAGATAGTTCGCGAACTGTTTGAGCACCCCTCGTAAATTTCTACACGAGAAAAGAAAACACTTACTGTGGCCTTCAGTTTGAAATTCAGGTATATCAATTATCAAAAGTTCTTTTCATTCACATATTGACACGTTATATCCTAATAATTTAATTTTATTTGTATTCTCGCCTCTCATTGGTTGATTTCCAAAAAGGAACGCATAACATTTTGTATAATCTGGTTTGGTATGGGGACACACCCCCTTGACGACCAGCTTAATCATCATATCCATGCAATCCCGTCATTTCCAGTCCTCGGAATCCATGGAAAATTCCAGATTTAATCAATGTACCTTCAACTTTAAACAATTACTCGTTCTTACCTCATGTAAACAAACATCATGGCTGCTAGATCTAGATCAGTTATTACCTCCCCTCTCTTCAAATCACTTCCGTTACTACGGTTGTATTATTGCGCGGTAAATTTGAACTTATAAAAAGCAACATAATTTTACATCAAAAGTTGTTTAATTATTTCAAAATTAAATTATAAGGAATGACTCTAATTCTTGGCCATATTATCGAGTATAATCTGGTTTGGGTCAGTTTACGCTTTTTTATAATCCGCTTCGCGGATTATAAAGCGTAAACTGACCCAAACCAGATTATACTCGATAATATGGCCAAGAATTAGAGTCATTCCTTAAATAATTTAAGTTCACTTGTATCAAGCAATTTCATTGGCTGAATCATTCAGAGGAACATATAATATTTTGGATAACATAACTTGCCTACGTCACAATGGGTTACGTCAAAAATGTATTACTCCGCTTGACGTTACTTTTAAAATAATGCTCAATTTGAAGTCATTTTCCGGAGGAAATATTGTCTCATTGTCTACACTGGAATTAAATTATAAGGAATGAAGCTAATTTCAACTTATGTTATCCGATATAACAAAACTAGGGGCAGTTTACGCTTTTTTGTATGTAAACCGCTTCGCGGTTTATAAAGCGTAAACTGCCCCAAGTTATGTTATATCGGATAACATAAGTTGAAATAAGCTTCATTCCTTAAGTGAACTAGAAGGAAAAGCATCACAGAGTCTGACACATTAGTTTCATATTTGGATATTTTTTTTTTACTTAGAAAAAAACGTTAATGGTAATTGAACAACCAAACTTTATAATAAATGTGATGACTTTAACTTTTCATTGAGCAAGACTTATGATAAATGTACAACTTTTTCTTTTATCTCAAAAAAGTATCTTCAAATAATTCTGCATAAATTAACCCAAAGATATTGTAGTAAATGTTAAGTCAAAAATTACTAATTAATAAAATTACGCAATGTTAAGCGCTGTTCAATTAAGGTACAATATGAATAGATGGTAGTACTAAGAAACCTTATTTCCAATCATGCCAATCTCACCCCTACACTCGGCCATTGCCTACAGAAAAGAAACGGGCTTCAAAAAGATTTTCGATTCTGTTAAAAATCAGTTTTGAATCTTAAAAAAATGTCTTTTCGATCCGCTGCAGCTGATCCGCCTCTGATGTTATGGAGGTCTGTGTTTGATCTCCTCACGATTTCTATCGTTAAATCATGCACGGACGTTAGGCTTGATTACACACTTCGTTATCTACATATATTATTTATCAAGTATTTCAATGTACACAGGAAAACCCTATTAAAACAATTTCCCTACATTTTGCGCAAATCATTAGTGATGAAAGACAATGATATCATCTACAACCAGTGCTAACACATTTAGAGAAATGGATAGCGGGAGTTCACATGTTTCGGGTAAGTTTCTGTTAACCATATAGAGAGTGTCGAGATGACAGATAAAAATCCTTTATGTGTAATATCGGACTAAGGTTTCGATCTACCCTTGGTGGACAGAGGAGGTGTACTAATACATCAATATGTAACTGGTACATTTTAAGTACAGTTATCAGACAGAAGCATTTTAGGGAACAAAACTGCCTGGGGGTTTTTTTGCTCAAAAAATTATGAAAAACCAAACCGTTAAGCACTAAATTTTACTTTTGATTTAGCATGATCACTTTACGGGGTGATCAGACTTTTCTGTTCATTACATTGAGGTTTTCTGAATTCAATCCACCATACTCTAATGAAGTAGTACACAGAAACATGTCGTAAAAATGCTTTGTTTATTGGATTCGTGGTATTTTTTGATCTGATGACCCGCGCCTGTCAAATCGAAATGATCAAGTTACTATTATAGAACAGTTAAGCTACATAGCTTAGTTTTGATTTATCATTTTTTGTGTTGAAAATGATTGACAAAATTTCGGGAAATGTTTTTTTTTTTTCTTTTGTGTTTTATTTTTTAACTAAATAATTTCTCCACCTTGCAAACTTCTATAATTCATGATCAGAAAATACCTTTTTTTCTAACATTCATGAACCGGAAGGTAGGAGACATTCATTGGATTCAATGACGTACATGTATGAAAGTAAATAAAAGACCACTAAATAACGGTACAGTTGTGGCGCCCCTTCATCATTATAAGGTTTTGTGTAGTTTGTCCTCAGTCGGTAACAAATCTTATATTTATCCTTATCAAAGACAATTAACTACTTTTTTTTGAAAATAATGAGATACATATACATATCGATGCCTTCTTTAATTTATTCGACGAAGATCATATAATCTTTCCCTCCGTCTAAAACTCTGCTCAAATTGCCTAAAAAAGTACACATTCGGTGGCCAGTTTTTTCTGGGCACAACTTAATCTGATGAAATTAACCAAAAGGAACATTACCTTTTTTTCAAATGAATGCTTCAAAATGCCAAATGCTAAATAGGTCTTAAATTATTATTTTTTCGGAATCCCTGGGTAAAGCCCTTCAAAATAAAGCATTATAGCATTTGAATTAACCAGAAAATCTCATTTTAGATTCACTTCCCCTGAAGGTGTTTTTAATTGGACCTCGAGGAGCTGGAAAAAGTGCAACAATTAACACCATATTAGGAGAGAAGGTGGCTCCATCAACATCAGGCCTCAGTTCTGAATCTACGACAAAAGACATTACCGAGTATCATGTGAAGGATCTCAACATTACATTAGTGGACACGCCAGCATTAAGAAAACCGGTGACCAAGAAAATCCATCGAGCACTTGCAGGAAATGACATCATAGGTTTTGTTATTCCTGCGCAAAGAATGCAAGTGGAAGTGATTTCAAGTATCGGACTTTTTTTGAAACATTTAAGACATTTTCATAAAAGAAGTTTTATCATAATTACGAAAGGCAAGAACTACAATGCAGAAGGTGTATTCAATTGGAAAGCTATAGAAGAGTTATACAATATATATACAGCTGTTGAACGGAGAATAGCAGTGTTTGAAAACAATTTTGAAACGCAAAGGCAACAAAAAGATCAAATTGAAAAGCTATTGTACATTGTAAATAAATGCAAAGCAAACGAAACATCTCTTCTACCACCAAGCACTGATAAATTAGTTAAGATTAAATCTGCAATCGCTGTTGCTTGCTTTGAAGAAGGTGGCAATATCATAGTTCATACTGTCATTAACATTATTGAAAGAAGCTGTTATGATATATTAGAGTCATTGACTAAGAATGTTCTTCAAAAGACAATATTCTCAATTGCACCTACAGTTTTTGAATTGTCTTCTTACAATTCTATATTATGGATTTATTTTTGATTTTACTTGTATTTTTCTGAATACATTTGTGGATTTTATAAATAAATTTTGGGCACAAAAATGAAAAGTTAAAAAATAAGAAGTCAATGCAATCAAAAAAGGTTAAAGGATTAAAAAAATAATCGGTAAGGCACAAAAACAGGTTTTCATAGTTTTGAGCAACGTCATTCCACAGAATATGAAGGTAAAATGCATCGTATTGAAGCCTGAAACATAGAAAGAGAACAAAAAGTTTTAAGATCAAACGTCAATTAAACAAACAGAAGCAGAGCAAACACGGATCAGAAGTCATCAGAGGTGGGATCAGGTGCCAAGAAGGAGTTAGAATCACCCTGCCGATTGGTCTCACCCGATGTGTGCCCCTTGCCATGTTTGGGATAAACGGAATAACCTTGTCGGCTGTTCAGTGTGTAAATGGCCTAAAATGGTATGAAAACATCAATCAGCATTTGAATTAATGATAAATTGGATATGCTGACAAGGTCACCTTATCGATCATAGAAATAACAAAATGATGATTTAGAACAATACTGCTGATATCCTCTTTCATCAACTTGTTTGTCAATATTTTACCTCTTTTAGATATTATTCATACGTAGAGCATGCTCTTGTGAAACGAATCAACTAAGATATATGATATAAACCCTGTATGCAGTGAAGAAGGTTTATTGCTGTATACGTAAGGGAAGTTGACGAAAGAAAGGTTAAAGTCATCACGTGAATCAAAGCTTGGTTGTTAGATTGCCATAAAGATTTTTTTCAAGTAAAATATCTAAATATGAAACAGAAGCGTCAGACTCTGCATTTACATCTATTTATACCTTCAGATCTTGATGACTGCAGTTTATTTAAACAATAAAATGCTTTCTTTGTTTGTTGTTACTGGAATGAACGGAAGCAGCTGCGACCGTTCATTCCAGTAACAACAAACAAAGAATTAAAGCATTTTATCGTTTATATTTATATCTGTTTAAATAATCAATTAAAGTAGGATTAAAAAGATTAATTATTGTATTAATGATGCGAACGTCTTTATACGTTTCATTGATGGAACAGCCACTGATTAAGAAATCTGTACCAGGCGACCTGCTGACTGTAGTTTATGCAGTGATGAACGCAATGGGGTTTCTTAAGAAATAAAGGAGAAAATATTCAGTGGATGTAAATATATAATCCTATTGTGGGTTAAACGGAAATTAATTAAAGATTACTTATTTTTCCATTCCAGACTTGTGAGATTCATTTACGAAAGCATATATTTGTTTCTAAAATTCAGTAAAATATACTGATGTACTGTTTTATTTCAGTGATGCGATACAAAATGAAATATACATATTCAGTAAGTTGATATCACATGTTAATATGGCAAATTTCAAGTTTAAAGTAGTCTTCGTAGAAAAAGCATGCAGCGCGCAATTAAAAAAAGTAAAAATATATGTAAAATTAAACAAGATACAGAGATTATTTTGGCCAGTATCTTCATGAATGTACTGGTTCATCGATAGGCGCGGTTAAGAAAGATCACGTGTGGGGCGGGACAAATGTAGAAACAGTCGCTGGGCTTAGAGCACGTGGATTGGCGGAATCAAGAGCATGTACATATATGGAATAACTTTCATTTTTTTTAAATTTAAAATTACATTCATTTGTACAAAAAAAAGAAAAGAAAGAAAAAGAAAAAAAAAATACTTGCAATCTTTTACAATTTTGGGATAAACAAAATCTTTCAAATGTTCAGTTCAAAAATTCAGGTTTGCTCTAATACTAGGAAAGATAATCCTGTAAAAATCGTTATTGATGTGTAAGAGTTGTTTTTCGTAAGTTAATTATAACCTCCCGAGTACCCTGATGCATATATTTATGTTTTTTTATTTGGTTGATTGTTTGTTGTTTTTTTTTTGTTTTTTGTTTTTTTATTTTTTCCATTAAAAAAACATAATTTAACATATGTATAATTTCTATACGAAACCTGTCATAAATTACCTGTGCCTTCAGTCATTTGATATATTGATAAACCTTGCCGCTCGACACTAAATATATAAATTCTAAGGTTTGGGTATAACAGAAGACACTTGTCTCTGGTGAGGTGTATGCAGTCTATACGTAGACATTAAAATGACCTCACTCCCACGTGAGTACTTTATTTAATGATCACTGGCTTTTATTTCCTAAATTGCTGTTTATGTAGACAGATATATATGGATTACTTAAAAAAAATCCGAAATTGATGGGAAATGGTTATTTTTGAGCATATTAATTTTCGTAATTATAATGAGATAGGGCTATGGCCTACAACATGTCGTTGAGAAAATTTTATCATTTACGCTTCAAAATATTTATAATATTTCTTTTTCTTTCAAAAACTGATTTCATCATGATTATAGATTTAGTCCTTATGCCCTTACATCCCAGTTCTAAAAGGTCTTATGTCCTCCAAAATTAAATTGTTTTTGTAAAATGTACCAGGGAAAAATCATTTAATTGCTTGTGACCTTTTCAAATTTCTAAATATTATCAGAACTAAACAATGAGCAAATGGTACTATTCTATTATTAGCTGAATTCAATCAGTTGTAAGCAGTCTCTTATGTATTAATGTTGTTTTGACCATAAAAATAGCCTTTTGTTGTTACAAACACACCAGATGGAAATCAGTCCCGAAGGACGGAATAAATAAAATTTATTATCTGGATAATTCATCAATTATAAACCATTGAAACCTTAAGTACATTGAACAGCTTTGCCATTTTTGTGTATATCTCCATCTTTTGAATGTCTTGTCATTTGATAACATCATTGTTAATCATATTAAAATATATTACAATTATGACGTTTGAGGTCTCTCTCTTCATTATATTCTTTTCGAGAAAAAAAGTTATAATAAACACATGAAAGAAATGAAATATCAACTGTACATACAAAAATTAAATAATAAAAAGAAGTGAAAAAATAAAATCTCACGGAATATTAAAAAATATATTTTTATTAATGTACTTTAAGAACTTAAAAATTTATCAATGTACTTTAGAACTAAAAATTTACTAATGTACTTTTAGAACTTAAATTTTTTTTTATTCAAAATGAAAGTTTTGAAACATATTTTTCATTTCAAGGGTGGTTATTTCGTTTTCGTTTTGTTTTTATCTTTTTGATTTTATGGTTGACTGTTTTAAAATACCTGGATTTGCTTTTTTTTTTAAAACAATACCCATTAAATTAATGCTAAATATATCAATCTATTATATAGACTTTGAGTTAAAATTTGAAATGCCACTTTCTTTATCATACGTCTATGCTTTTGAATACATTTGTATCCTAAAATAGTTCATCTATTTTAAGTCAATCTAGAGTCCTCCTACATTCCCGACGTTTATCTTAAACTTTTCAACCATTCATAAGGATTTTCCTATCACCTTATTCTATTTAGGTATTGTTTATTTTGAGTTGAAATGGAATTTCCCATCTTTATATTCTATTCAGGTATTGTTTATTATCTATTTAAAGTAAAAGAGATAAGAATGTCATGTCCTTATTTCATATTTAATAAAAACAGGGGAAAGGTAGTCTTCATCTATTTCAAAATAATAATACTTTTTTTATGTATCATATTACGTAACACTATCTTGGACATGTTTATTATGTATTTATTGCAGAAAATATAGTTTTTATTTATATGAATTATATTTAAGACGAAATTGTCTCAAATTGAATTTCCTTTTTATATGAAGAACATATTTTTATTGACATCTGCAAAATTTTCATAAGTTGTTGAGAATTGAAATTTCTCATCTTAACACTAACTTGCTGTTTACAATAATACTTTTTAATATTAATATAAGTTTATTATTATGTGCAAAACAAAGGCAAATATGTAAAAAAAAATTTGCTTTTACTTATTATGTTTTTCTTTAATATATACATATATTAAAATTAAACGCAAAAAGAACCCTGATATCAAAAGTAGTAAAGCATTTATAATACTGCAGATAATTACTTATTGCTTTAAGTACGTTATAAAGCGTACATAAACAGTTGCTAAGAAATTCTTTTCCTTAATTTGAATGAATGGCGTTAGACGGTGTTTCAGCAAACATGTCCCGACCTTGCGATTTCAATAAAAAATAGGACAGTATACAATTAAAGGAATCTTCTAGTTAAATGACCGAAGGACTACCTCATATGCCTCTGTTTACTAAAAGTTTTATTCAGCAACAATTAAATTACTACTAGGTTAAACACGTGATCAAGGTCAATATTCACTGAAAATTGATAACAAGCATCTAGATTATTAGGAAATATTTGTGAATGACTATGAATCTGTTTTAGGTCTCTCTGTTCTCTATTTAGATTACTTCTGATAAAGAAATCCATTTGTAGACTCACAGATTAAGCACGGTACTACTATATTCCATATATAGATTCCTTGTCAACAGCCCGAGTACAGATAGTGGAACTGTAATAAGAGTACAGGGAATTTGTGAATGAACAACCGCTACAGTTGAGGTCGGAGAGGCTACAACCTGAATTATAGAAAAATTCCAAAGGTATCTTATAGCCAAAACTCTATTGTTAACTTGTATATTTTCTATAGGGTTTGCATTTTAGATGTTAAAGAAGACATGCTTTTAAATTAAAAGCATGACTCAATTCTATTTTTTTTACTGTTGCCCTTAAAGTACAATTAGCTTCAATAATTTAAATTTTGTTAATTGTATTATATGAAGCTTACACCTAAAGTTATTTTTCAAATTTTCATAAATTCATAAATTCATTTTGCCTTGGATGCAGATTCAATATATTTCTTAAAAAGGAATAAAGGTTAGAATTTATTTAGAAAACACGAAAACACACGGGGGGAATAGGCCAAAAGAATTACATAATATTACATAATTATATTACATAATATTTTATGTGTGTGTGTTGCTTGACTAATGAAGATTCTATAACAGAAATATTCTGAATAAACAAGGTAATATATTCTTCACTTTATTTAAGTCATTATTGAAAAGGAAGCCCTAAATCGGCATCAACTCTATGGAAAATAATAAAAATTATTCTAATTTCCCCGA